AGGCATTTTAGCAATAAGAAATCAAAAACTTGAAGACAAACGAAAATAGAAGGCAACAGATGGCAAGTAAACAGATTCAGAAGAGTTATGAAAGATTGAGCTTAATAGTAAGTAAAGAGTTTATGAATCTACAAAGTGAAATGAACGCCGATATGAAAATCGCCGGAGTCAAATAGGTGACTGAAAATCAGGAAACTCACCAGAGAGTGTGAATGGAGCAGTTGCAAAGCTCTTGGAGTTTACGAATTAAAGGAACCAGAAGCTAGGAGTGCGATCTTCAAGCAGTTTGGAAGAAGACATGAAACTGTTCTTTGACATCTAAAGTGGACAGCGAAGTCCTAGGGAACTTTGAGGTACGACCTATTTGTTTCATCAGACAGAGAGGGGCAGCAGATGAACGAAACAGTGTAGGGTTCCATCAACTCAGAAGCCGAGGTACTAGAACCGCTAAGCGTGGCAGTTGTGGGGATATACTTTTCTGAGTACCAACACGTGGCAAGGTGACCGCCCGGATGTGTCAGCCGAGGGTGCCACGTGTTCGCCTGTCGTGACGCCGTATCTCGGCTAGGCCGAGGTTGTCTCCGAAGATATCGAATTCCGAGATAAGCGGATAAAGGACAAGAGTCCTAGAATGAAGAGGGAACTCAACTTGGATATGGACAAGAGTCCTAGATTGGGAGAAGACTTCAGTTTGGGTAAAGATAAGACTCTTAGAGAGTTTATCCTAATCCCACTGGGAGTCCCAGATTAGCAGTAATCCTAAGTCCATTAGGGCCAGGCTCCTTTTGGGACTAGGATTGTATTGGCTATAAAAGAGAGGCACCCCAATGGGTCTAAGGTATGCTTTTGATACTCAAGCTTGTGAGTTTAGTACTTGATTTATCTTTGAGAGATATACTGACTTGATCGTCGGAGTGCCCCCGGGTGGTCGAAACCACCGCGGGATTCTTATATTTCTGTTACAGGTAAGACAGGGGCCATCTATTCTGCCAGTGCTCTCCAGCTGGTTACTAAGCGGGCAGTGTGGTCGGAAAATCACCCACACAGTTATATTATTTTAAAATTTAAAATATTAAATTGCTTACTAAATATATTTGAGTAATGCGAGAAATTCCAAAAGTTCTACTAAAATTTTTACCAAATATCTCAAATACACCATGTGAATTCCATGTAAGTCTCATACTCATACGAGACATTTGATAAAAATTTTAATAAAACTGTTAACATCTCTAATATTTTTTAATATATTTAGATAATAGTAATAAGGATTCAACTTTACAAATTTTATTTTATTTTTATTTTTATTTATTTATTTATTTTTATAGTTACCCTTGGTCCATTAAAATCTTATTATACGTCTTCCAAGTTCCAACATTTTACCCCTCTAAAAAAAAAAAAATTCCAACATTTTAGATTAGAGTGCTGCTATTAGCACCTATCAAAATTCTTTGGACCCAAATCTAAACCCTAAATTTTAATAATATTTTTTTGGACACCCCAATTATTACCAAATCTACCCATATTCACAATGAAATGCACACTCACGTGAATCCATTCCAATTCCCTCTCTTCTCTCTCTCTCCTCATCAGTGATGTCTCTTCTCTCTCTTTTCTCTCACTCTCTCAAAACCCCTTTTGTTCATATGAAAAAGTGAAGATTTTTCTCTCTTTTCTTTCTCTCTCTCTCAAAACCCCTTCAAAACCCTAGTTTTTTCTCTCTCTTCTCTCTCCAACATTAATCACATTTAAAAAGTGGTTCCTGAAAACACAATGCATTTACTTGTGGGGTTGGTGTTCTTCGTCGATTAGGATTTCGACGACGTGGGTCTCTTTGGAATTTGCCATTACTTGGAAAATTCAGATGAGAAAGTGAAGATTGATGCGAATTGTAGAAATAGAAAATAATGTATATATATGGAAAACTAATCTCCATAATATTTTCAGAATAGAAAACTAATCTCCATATTTTCACAATGAAAAGCACACCCACCCAATTTGTTCACCACTGTGTAGCTGAAAAAATGTATTTTGTTCAAAACTGTTTTGTCGAACAATAATGATCCTGTCAGCACTGTATGTCTGAACAAAATTTGTTCATCACTGTGTAACTTGAATCCATTCTAATTCACAACTCAAAATACACATGAATTAAATTCATTCAAAATACATAACTTAAATCCATTCCAATTCACTCTTTTCCATTCTAAGTTAGTTTAACAAAGAAAATTACATAACTGACTATCTGTATTCATGTTCAGAACCTATGTATTGAACGAAAGGATTATGTTCAGTACTATATTACCGAACATAATTGTAACAGTCAGCAAACCAGTACCGAACAGATGACACATTCAGGATTTAAGATGATTATGAAAAATAATAGATTTAGGGTTTATGTTAATTGGTTATGAAAAGTAATAGGTTTAGGGTTTACAAACATGGAATACGTATAGTTGGAGTTAGAGGTAGGGGTGGGGTGTGGGTGAGTGTCCAATATTATACAGTATTAATTATTATTGATAGGTGAGTGTTCCATTTCATAATGTCTTTTAATATAATTTTACTTTATGGTATAATTGTAATAAAAAAAATTATAAAATGGGAGGTTCAAAAAATTTTGAGAGCTAATAGCAGCACTCTTTAGATTAATATGGAATAATGACAAGTCACGTGGTCTTTTTTTTCTGATCACGTGTTATTACCCAAGTATTGTCGCTGAAAAACAGCGGTTTGTAAACCGAGTCCCAAGGCCCTATTCAACGTTGTTGATTAGCTTTCAGACAATATTTTTGAAGTTAATTAAAACCACCAACATTACCACTTCCTCCTCTTATAACCCCACGTATCACTCAAACTACTCATTCATCGCCACTTGTACGCCCCCCTAGCAATTTCTTAAAATTCTCTCTCACGCACCTTTCCTACATATCCTTCCGCTCAATCTCCACCATAATTATTAGACTAGTAATGTTCTAATTCAAAAATTACATCTTCTTTTCAAACTTAGACCTTGTTTGAAAACAGATTAATTTAATAATTTTTTTTAATTATTTGACTAAAATATTAGTTTTAAAAAATTAATATATTTGGGATAATTTTTTAACTTTTTAAGAAAAGATGTACAAAAAGTAGAGAGAAAAGAGAATTTTTAACTTTTTTATATGAATTGTTGGCTTTATAGTTTTTTTTATGTGACTTTTTGACTAAAAAAATCACTTGCCAAACGAGGCCTTAATAATTATTTAGTTAATTACATTTATGTATTATTTTTATTTTATATTTTTTACTTATTAATTAATCATCTTAACTTCAAGGAATTGGCATAATGGCTTGAGGTCCGGGGCTTAGAATATACAAACTTTAAGTCTTAGGCTCTGTTAATATAATTGTTAAATTGTTAATTGAATCTTTAGCTTTAGTATAATTATTAATTGTATAGGTTTATGCTTTCCTTTTTGCTTTCGGTGATAGTGGAGCACTTTGGTATCCAATGTAACCATTCTTCTCTCTATAAAGAGAGAGTTCATTCCTCTTTGAATGTATCACATTCAATACATAAATCAATATACATAATTCATTCTCTCTGTATCTCTCTTTCTCTATCAATTTATCTTACAGGCTCGATTTCTTCAAGTAACATAAAATTCTTGAGACCATGTACCGTAGGAAAACCTATTTCGAAAGACTTACTTAGGCTAAGGAACTTAGTTTGATGCACAAAAGTTGATCTACAATACTTTACATAATCAAAATAATTATAATAATAATCCTCTTACTTATATATCATTGGATTTGAAAAATTGGTTTAAAAAGTAAATTTGTATATTAAATTACAAGGGTTTAAGTGTTTATATTATTTTTACGGTAAATTGCAAATACACGCTTAAAATACGGATTATTCTTGTGATTTAAAAAATTACAAATATTTCCTTGTTAAATTTTTTTATTTAACCGAATTAATTAAAAAAATAAAATTCCTAACTATTCTCCTATACAATAATAAAATTACATGAATTATTAATTGAAATAAATTTTTAGCATCATTAAAAACTATTAATTGACTTGATGATTAATTAACAAAATGGGTCATTTGTTATGAAATTAAAAATTTTAAGAGGTGAGATATAATTTTCAAAATCACATGAAACAATTCGTATTTTAAACAAATTTTAAATATTGTATTTGTAATTTACTTTTATTTTTACTTCATTTAAAGGATATATTATACTGATTGGGTAATGTTACATGTCTGTTTGTGATCTTTTCATTTTTAATAAAATCATTTACTGTTGTAACTTGTAACCACACCTTTAAGGTATGGTAAGTTGGATATCAGGGTTTAAATTGATAGAATAGTGGCGAACCTTTCAATTATAGTCTAACTATACTAATATATTAATGTTATCTTTGACCCCCCCAAAAAAACTATAAGTATATTATTACTACATCATTTTGAATTTACTTTATGTATAAAAATTATGTTTGTAAATTTGATCAATCAAATGATGTGAATACATAAAGATGATATCATTTTATCATTTATATAATAATGATTAAGCCAAATTTGTAAGACTTAATATATTTTTTTCAAAATTAAAAAAAAAATCACTGTAATTTATGTTTTTTCGAATATTGCTGTTAATATTTATTTTAAAGACACATGTTTAAAAAAAAAATTAAAAATTATATAATTTTTTATTACACATTTTTATACATAATATATCATTTCTTTTTTAAAGAAATTGCACTTTAGTGCAAATTTTCCAAAAAAATAAAAAATTAAAAAAATTAATGCAAATATGTAAAAAAATTATCAATTTTGATAATTAAAGTCATAAGTTTTTCTATGAATTTAGAAGTATTTTGTAGAAATATCACTTATTTACAATTTTTCCTTCTTTTTTATGATAATGCCAACAAAATCCCTATGAAAACATGACCACATGATTTGTGAGAAACACCAATCAACTTCACCTCTCTTTTTTCTGCCCTTAAAATTCTCTCTCACGCACCTTTCCTACATACCCTCTCTTTGTCCTTCCGCTCAATCTCCACCATTTATCTTCTTCAAACCCAATTCAAGGCTCTCTCACTTTTTTCTTAACCCACAAACAAAAATACAAAAAAAATGAACTTTAACCCACTTTCTCTCCACGCATAAACTTTCTCTTCCCATCCAAGAAACTCCCATCCCAAATCCCACTTCCCAAACACAAAAAAATAATGTCAGGTGGGGTTGGTCCATGCAGTGACATTCGTCTCCCAAAAGAAGAACAAGAACTAGACAAAAAGCTCCAACATGACACCTACTCAAAAACCCACCCTCCAACCACCACTACCGCCGCCGTGGGCGGCGGTTTCTTCACTTTCCGGCAGCTCAACGCCCTCGCTGTCGTCATCGTCCTCTCCGCCAGCGGCATGGTAAGTCCAGAAGACTTTGCCTTCGTCTTCTTCTCCTTCATCTACATGTACCTAATCTCAAAGGTGGCATTCCCAACTCTCTCTCCTCCCTCCTCCACCACACAACCATCAGTCTTTCGCCGGAATAACAAGATTCTAGCCCTTTACACCTTCGCCGGAGCCGCCATTGGGCTCTTTCTCCCCATAGCATACATTTTTGAAGGCATTTTTGAAGGTGACAAAGAGGGTATCAAAGCAGCAGCACCCCATGTTTTTCTCTTAGCAAGTCAGGGTTTCATGGAAGGAGTGGCGTTTTCGGACCGGCTTTCGACCCCGATTCGGGTTTTCGTACCGGTTTTTTACAATTCGAGGAGGATTTTCACCATTGTCGAATGGGTTAGAGATGAGATTTCGAAAGTGGATGCGCAAGATAGTGGGAGCTCAAGGAGGTTGTATGTGGGAAGAGCTCTTGCAGTTGCAAACATGGTGTTTTGGAGCTTCAATCTTTTTGGGTTTTTGTTGCCTGTTTATCTTCCTAGAGCTTTTAAGAATTACTACTCTGGTGCTGCTGTCAAGGTTAAAGACTGAAATGTGTTGCAAAGTCTTGTTTTCTTTTTGCGTTGTGATGTTATGCACTACTTGTTTTTCTTGTTTTTTATATTTCTTATTTCGTTTGCTTTGGTTGGGCAAAGAAAAATGTATGTTTTGTTGTTTTGTCTAGGTTTTGAAGTGTGCCAATCAATTTTTTTATGAGCAAGGTTCAGTGCCAATCATTTACCTTCTTTTAACATGTGATTGTGGTAGTTTTGTAATGACTATTTTTCTTTGATTCAAGATCCAGATTGAATCGGATTGGAAGATTTTCTTCAGATATAAGGTTTATTGAAAATTCTGTTTTGATTATTTAAATTATTTATTTATAAGATTTTTATATATATATATATATATATATATATTATTTATAAAAAAAATTAATAATATCACATTTATCTCTAGAAAATGACTATTGTTTTGATAAATGAATCAAATAGTTTGAACTCAACTCATATTTAAATCGTTAAAAATTGATTTAAGTTTAATTTTATTTGATACAATAGTTTGATAAAGAGAGGGAGAGAGAATAAATTATATATATATTGATGTATTGAATGTTCAGTGTGATACATAAGGAGAAGTTTACTCTTCTTTATAGAGAGAAGAGTATGTTCAGTGTTGCTAAAGGAACCGAAAGTAAAGACATCATGATTACAACTTGGACACTTTACAACTAATAACACTAACAGCTAATAACATATAATACATTAACAGCCCCCCTCAAACTCAAGGAGGATAGGCACAAGCCAACTTGAGTTTGGAGAGAGTAACAAAACAGGAAAATAAACTAAAAATAAAATAGGATAGGAGACACTGTATGGTCGTGTCAGATCGTTATTGAAGATACTGTGTGGTCGTGTCAGACCGATGTAGCAGCTAACCGAAATCAATGTCGGGACAGTTTACGGGGTCATGCCGGACCGATGTAGAAGCTAACCAGAATCAATGTCGGGACAGTTTACGAGGTCATGCCGGACCGTTGTAGAAGCTGACCGGAATCAATGTCGGGACAGTTTACGGGGTCATGCCGGACCATTGTAGAAGCTGACCGGAATCAATGTCCGGAATCAATGTCGGGACAGTTTACGGGGTCATGCCGGACCATTGTAGAATCTGACCGGAATCAATGTCGGGACAGTTTACGGGGTCATGTCGGACCGTTGTAGAAGAATTTGGTGGTGCACCAAGGTGGCGACTTAAGGAGTGCGCCATGGGGTGGCTTGGGTGGTTCGCATGGTGTGTAACCATGCTAAAGATTGGTTTTAAAAATAAAAAGGGGGCATGGTGGGTATGTAAAAGATATTGTTTTGGTGGGAGAGATGATTATGTTTTAAAAAAGAAGAGATTAAAAATAAATAAATAAATAAATAAATAAATAAAGAAAAAAGAAAAAAAGAAAAGAAGAATGGTTGTCCTTGAGTAGAGAGAGAGAGTTGAAGTGTGTTGTTTTTATTTTTATTTTTATTTTTTTTTTGTGTATGACGTCTGCTCCTCTGCAACTCACGTGTTGCACACTCGCCTCCACTTGCTTCCTTATCCTTCCACGCTTGCCGACATCACAAACCCTCTCTGTACATACAATAAGGCCTCAGGCCATAGCCAAAGTCCTCACTCCCCTTGGAGCTACACCCCGGCGACGCCGAATGTTGCCTTGGATCTGAAACACTTGTGGACTGCACTCAAGCTCGCCATCGAACTGTTCTCCGGCGGAATACATGGAACAACGGTGGTTTGGAGCGGGAAATTCTTGAGCCTGATTTTACAGAAGCACGGCGACGACGAGGGGTGAGCGAGCGGGCTTCGAAGCCACTGGAATCATGAGGGCGAGATTGGCTACAGTCAAGCGCACGAAAGGACATGGATCCATTGTTACCCCACCGGCGAGGCAACTCGTTGTAGGGCTCAGATTGTGGGAAGGGAAATCAATCACTGCTCAACTAGAGAGAGAGAGAGGGAGTGGGTTGATTATTAAAGAGTTACCCTCCACGAGCTTGATCTGAATGTTGACTTTCCCAAACAAATACTTGCTTTTGGATGAAAACCCAGCACCAGAATAGTTATCTAGTTTTATCTTGAGAAGCTCTCCTTCATAGGTGAAATGGTCCATTGCCCAGCTGGGCTGAAACAACTCATCATACCTTGATGACTCAACCGAACCCACCATTACAACTGCAACAAACACCTTGGTGCCAGGAGAAGGCAAACTAGGGGCAAATTGGGAAAGACCCTACAAGATCACTGGTCTGGCAGGCAAGGGGGCTTACCACTTGGAGGACCTAGAGAAAAGAGCAATACCCCGGCCATGGAATGCGGCCAACTTGAAACTGTATTATTTTTAAGCTTTCGCTTTCTTTTCTTGTGCAAAGGGATTTTTGGGCATTGCACTCCAAAATGTAATTCTTTTTGTCAATATATTGAAGTAATTTTGCTCTAGCGTTTGGACTATTGTTTTAATGTAAAAACCGAAATGGTCTGCTCCGGTTGGAAGAGTTGGAGTTTTGTCCAACTTCGGATTCCCAATCGAGATGGTTTGCTCCGGTTGGAAGAGTTGGAGTTTTGTCCAACTTCACATTCCCAACCGAGATGGTTTGCTCCGGTTGAAAGAGTTGGTGTTTTGTCCAGCTTCAGACTCCCAACCGAGATGGTTTGCTCCGGTTGGAAGAGTTGGAGTTTTGTCCAGCTTCGGATTCCCAACCGAGATGGTTTGCTCCGGTTGGAAGAGTTGGAGTTTTGTCCAACTTCAGATTCCCAACCGAGATGGTTTGCTCCAGTTGGAAGAGTTGGTGTTTCGTCTGACTGCGGATCCCCAACCGAGACGGTTCATTCCGGTTGGAAGAATTGGTGTTTAGTCCAACTCAGGATTCCCAACCGAGATTATTTATTCCGATTGGAACAGTTGGTGATTTGTTCAACTTTGTTATTACTAACCGAGATGGTTATTTCGGTTTAAGAATTCATTTTGTTCTAAATGTTTCAACCGAGTTATGAATTCCGGTTGACAAGGTGTTCAATCTATGATTTAATACCGAGATGAATTGCCGAAAGATGGAATTGATAACAACCGTGCAAACACTTGGCGAAATTTGAGTTTTTCATTGATAAGAAAGTAAATACAAAAGGTGGGGACAGAGCCCGGTTACATCAAAAACGCGAAAGCAAAAATACAAAAATAGAAGAAAACTAAACCAAGGGGGAGAGATGGGTAAACTCGTCCTCGGCGGCATCAAGGTTGATGGTTGGACTTGTTTCTTGGGCATCGGGCTCATCACGGCCGGGCTGCTCCTGCACCTCGGCATCCTCTTCTTCTTCCTCTGTCTCAGCATCTCCCTCTTCAAGCCCTTCCTCGGCCTCCGCTTGCAAAGCGCTGAATACGTCGTTTGCGTAAGGCACGAGGTAGACCGGTAGCGAGGCAGGAGGAGGATTGGCAAATACGTCGGTGTCAGAGCCCTGGCCGAGATGCTCACAAGCGGACTTCCAGCCGGCTTTGAAGTAAATATCTTGTGTGGCAAAGACTTGTTTTTTGTAGCTCTGCTCGGCTTCATTGAAGCCGGCGTTGTTAGCAGGCCGGCAGTCTTTCTTCTGCGTCTTTTTGAGCCTGCTTAGCTCGGTCTGGAGCTCATCCCGTTTTTTCTCGGTCGCATCCAGCTGACCGAGCAGTCTGTTGTTGTCGGCGTTAGCCATCTCAAGTGAAGACTTTGCCCGGCCGAGCTCGGCTTGGAGGCTCCCGACTTGGTTGGCGGTATCGCTCGCCTTCTGCCGAAGTCTATGGATGCGCTCCATGACCAAGTGCTGCTTTTGGATGGCCTGCAAAATTAGAATTTGATCAGAGAAGAAACCGTGCAAACACTTGCGTAAATTGAAGCAGAGGATTGAACTTCTTACCCTGGTCATGGATTTCACGGCGGATTTGACCAGCCGGGTGTCAGGAACGTGGTCACTTCCAACCACGTTGCTGGGCTGCAGCAAAGCTTTTGAGAGGTCGAAGGCAAGCAGGTGCTCCTTATCACCTTTGACCGAAGCATTCGCCGGGATCTCTTTTCCTCGGTGTTTCAGCTGCGGCCGCCATGCGGGTATGGTGCTGACCCTGTCAACTGGTTGCTCGGTTGCCAGTTCAGTGATGAGCTCGACAGAGGGATCGGCCCGTGGTCTTTTGCCAGCCCGGCGAGTTTCTTGGCTAGACTGCCCGGCGGCTGGAGAGGCTAAAGCGACCACGGCGGCACTATTTTTATTTTTTTTTTGGTTAGTCTTCTATTAAGTAAAAGAGTTAGTCTTAATTTTTATTTTTTATTTTTTTTTGGTTAGTTTTCTACCATTAGATTAGCATCTTTTATGTCTACCCTTAGATCTACCTACAGGTTTCTGAACTCGGGCAATTCGGGCAACCCGAGTTCAAAATACAAAGCTTGGGCCGGGCTTGGGCAACAATGTTCGGGTTCATGGTCGGGCTTGGGCGGGCTTGGGCAGTGCCAAATACAATTCGGGTCGGGCTTGGGCAGACCCCCAACCCGACCGAACCCGCCCGAGTTGCACCCCTAATGTTGGCCTTGGATCTGAGTCTACTTAAAGAACGCTGAGACTGGGCCCTCATGAATATGGTGCGATATCAGCAACAACTTGTCAAGTCATATAATCAACGAGAGCAGTTACGCCGATACACCTATAGAGAGTTAGTCCTGAAAAAAAATACTTTTGGTTGCCAAAAATCCTGCGGATAGAAAACTTAGCCCCAATTGGCACGACCTCTACCAGATTGATTCAATTACCAGCGCAGGGGCATACTAACTCTTGGATATGAACGACAAGAAATTACTTCGACCTTGGAATTCGACTCATTTGCGCAAATTTTATCATTAATATCTCTGGCTATTTTTGTATCTGCCTTATTTGTGCAGTTGTGTTCTTGGGTTTACTACCTCACTTTGTATTTATATATATATATATATATATCTAATGATGCAGTTCATTATGTGATTTCTGATTATTTATCTCTTTTCTTTGTGCTTGGCACAATTGGCCATCGAAAAAGTCTCTGAATTCGGAGTGCCCTTCATGCTAGCACGATTGGCCATCGAAAAAACTCGACATGATTGGCCATCAAAAAAGCCTCTGAATTCGGAGCGCCCTTCGTACTCAACATGATTGGCCATCAAAAAAGCCTCCGAATTCAGAGCGCCCTTGGTGCTCGGCATGATTG